CAGCTATTTCACCACTATATCACCAACAAATCTGTATAAAAGGGGTCAAATATGTGGTGACAGAAAGAAAAGAGTGGGAGGGAAGTGAACACACAATGCAATATATATGCCTTACTGTTAAATTGTATACCTGAAACTTACTAGATTTCATTATAAAAATAAAAAATAAAAAAATAAATAAATAAATAAATAAATAAATAAATAAAAGCTACACTCAAAGTCCACTTGGGAGTTTCTCAGTTCTAGGTGAGTTAGCCTGGCTTTGAGTGTAGCTTTATCACCTGGATTGATTAAATTCTGAAACACTGTGTGTAATCAGCAACACTAGTATTTTAGGTTTTCAGGACTTAAGTGGGAACCTTCATTGAAGAATTGAATTAGACGTGGCTTCTCTAGAGAAGAGTAGTCAGCAGTGTTGTCAAAAATAGCACAATGACAAACGTAAAATGCTATATAAATATATTTCTATAGTAACTTGAAATTTTCCCAAATTGACAGTGGGCACAAATGGGGGAATATTTGGAGTTTTAATTCAGAATTCAGTGGAGTATCTCCATTGGTAGATGCAGTACTCACTGTATTTACTTGATAAATATATCACACTTGAGAAGAGTTCACTAAAAAGTATTTCCTGGGCCTCCAGGAGGTGAATTACATGTTTGTATACAAGTCTGTTCCTCTTTGGTGCCGAGACTCTGTCAGGTGTACTGCCAGAGCACTGGGCTACTTGCCCTGTCAAAGCTGGGTAGAGCTTTGGGATGAAGTGAGGGTAGTAGGCTGTAGAATTCTCCTCTGTTATAATTTTTGTTGTTGCTGTTATAGGACACCCAACTAAGGTTGTTTGTGTCCTGATGTTTTAGTGGAAACAATGCTTCGCATTTTCACTTGCATGATGCTTCCCATCTCCTCTGAGAGGTCAAATGCTCCTTCCTCCTAGCAAGCTCTTCCACAAAGCTCCTCAGGCCAAAAAATGACTTCTTAAAGGTACATCCCAATAGTTGCTCAGTCAAGTGCAGGTCTTTTTATCTCACTTTGACTCATGATGGGACAGTACTACCTACCCGTCTCACTATCTCACCTCCTCCATTAACCATTCACTTGCATACTCCTGTCCACATCCATGCCTCCCTTTTCTGAATTCCATATTCTATAGATACTACACACTTTTAAAACTTTTTTAGTTTAATAACTTAATTCTGTCTCCAGACAGCACAACTCTAAGCTTATTTAGGGCAATAACCTTCCATTAAAATCCTTGTATCTTCTTTCACCATACTAATTGAGAGTTCAGTCAGTACTTGCTTGACTGAATGTGACACATAATAGTCTAAATAAAAGTGTTTCTCACCAAGTATTTCTTAGGTACCCACCGTATGGATTAGGTAACCATTACATATATCACATTGAACAATGACTACTTAATAAGCAGCAGTTAAAAAGGTGTGTGTGTTGGGGGTGGGGGCGGAATTGGAGAGCTGGAAGGAAACTTACCTATCAGCTTTCTTTTAGAGGAAAGGAAACTGAGGTCTAGAAAATTTGTTCTGCCTCAAGCCATCAAATAAGTTAGAGGTAGAGTTGGGATTGGAGCTCTTGGGAGACAAGCAAAATGAAAATAACGAGTGTAAAGATATTGTGCAACCATAGATTTGAGACATATTTGGAAAATGTCCAATTTAAAAGAAGGCTGTTAGGACTCTCCATTTAACTAGTTATGCTTTCTTTTTATCTTTTAAAATTTAATACTATCAGTTTTTGTTGTTGTCTTTTATTGTTGTAGAAAAACTCTCATTAAAAGTTTTATGAGGTGGAAACCTTCACTAAAGTTAATGTCATCAGAGACCAGGTGAAGTAGAACTGGAGTCCCTACCAGACTGAAGGATTTTAACCTTTTGTGGTGTACCTGAAAATTGGGACCGGAAGAAAAAAATAAAAATTTTTAATGTTACAAAGTTTTTAAATTATAAAAGTAATAGCCTATTAGACAAATTTGAAGAAAAAGAAGAAGAAAAAAGAATGTATCAGCAAAGGAGTCCAGCATCTGCCACTGTGGCATAAAAATTATTTTGAGCGGAAGGCATTTGAGGTCCTAAAGGAATTCAATTGTCATAAATCCCCAGGAGCAACCAGGGAAAACTAGCTCTTATCACCAGAGCTAACGCATACCACACCTAAACAGATATGTCACAACAACTATAATATTGCCCATCTGTTCTCCTAAGCTCCCATTTATCTTACAAAAAGCTCATTTGTTTTCTCGTAAATTCGCTTTCTTCTCCTCCCCTTTCCTTCTGAAGAAGTCACTCGTTTTCCTGTAAGTGCCTGTTACCCCTTCTCTTCTGCCATTAAGATGATTTATAAGCCCCAAATTCTAACCATTCCTTTGAGTCACATTTCTCTGTTAACTCCCCTATGTACATTAATAAAAACATGTAATTAAATTTTTGTGTTTTCTCTTACTAACCTGTCTGTTGTCAGTTTAATTCACAAGCCCTCAAGAACTGCACTTAAAAGTTTTTCCTCCCTGACACACAATCAGCTAACCATCAGCATACCAGCTCAACACAACTATTTCCAATTTTGCATAGTTTCTTAAATTTTTTCAACTGCATTTACTCTTTACATATTTATAATCATTATTAACATAATATAAGCACCCATCCATGATGTTACGTAACCCTCCAAATTATGATTTCCTAATGACTTCAAAACAGTTCCTTGAGATGATACATAAATTTCTTACATAGCCTCCTACTGTTGGATATTTAGATTGCTTCTAATTTTTTAAAGTTATAAATAATTTGGAAAAAAAACCTTTGAACATAAAGCTTTAATCCATCTAAAATTACTTCTATAAATTAGCTCTAAGTGCTGTGGCCTTTGAAAAGGGAATATTGTGTTAAATATCTATCTCAGGGAGATAGCAATTTGTATTAAAGTAACAAGAAAATTCTTTTATAAACCAAATAACTTAAGTCTCAGGTAACATTGTAAAGGCCATGAAAAAAACTTTAAAACCATTTAGTGTCTGGAAGATGTGTAAACATGATGAGAATTATTTAATAAGAGGAATCACTTGAACTAGGTAATTTGAAGCCCAGAGAAAGATCCCTTGGCCTTTTCTTTCTTTTTTCTTCTTTTTTTTTAAAAAACAAAACAAAACAAACAAAAATAATAGTGGATTAATTTAGCAACAAGTTTGTGGAAGTTTGGGTGAATGAGTTAGATTTAAGTGAAGAGGGCCAATTTAAGAGAATAATTGCTGATGAAAGTTCTATTATCAAAGCTTCATTTGGTTTTCATTAGCTTTCATTTGGAGGAAATGATAAACTATTAGACAAAAAGCAATTGGTGCTCACAGTTATCCAACAACCAAAGGAACAATCGAGTTAGCTGAACCTTTCCCCCAGCGACTTTCCTGCATTTAGCCATTTGTCCTTCATTAGAAGGGCCCAGGACCAACTATTTTAACAGGCAATTGATTAGGAGATTTCAAATAGCAACAACAAAGAAATGTTTGTTTTGAAGAACCACAAGCTATTCATCTTAAAAAGAGAGGGGGAAAAAAAAACAACCCAACCAAACCATATTACAACTCAATTTAGAACTTTTTTTTCCTACTTTGTAATCAAAGGGGAGCAAAATCAATTTTCATCTCGGAGTACCATTTTCTCCTATTAGATTTCTCTACAGTGGGCTTTCCACAAATGATGCTTGATTATTTCTGAGTCATACTACTTAAAATCCACATTTATGAACAGTCATTTCCTAGGTAAAAGCTGAGGAAATTACAGAAAGTTCTTTGTGCCCTTATGTTCTTTCAGTGTTTTAGATTTAATCAGCAGCTGTAGCAAGCCCTGTTATGATCTTCCCTCAACACTTTTGACAGGACCAAAAATATGAACCTGCACATAGAGCTTTTCATAAACTATCAGGAGTCCTTTTTCTTTTTTGCCAGCTGGTAGTTAGTCAAAATACTGTTTCGGGGAAAAAATCGTCTGCAGGAATCCTCATCAGGTCAGCTGCAAATGTGTTCGGTTCGAGAAAAACAAACACGCACTTACCAGTTAATTTTCTGTGAGGAGAGGAGCTATTGAGATGCCTGGGTGTAACCTCCCGGCTGCAGTATGAAATGGAGGGTGGTTTTCCGAACAGCTACGTTGTACACTCTTCCCTGCCTCCTCATTTGGCTTTTATCTGGCTTTTGAAATGACACTGTAGAGGAGAATGATGTTGGGTTTCATTTGAATGTGGTTCTTCCCTTCCTCCACCACCCTCCATAAAAATTAACCACATATTTCAGGAGAAAAGTAAGCAATGAACACACTGTACAAATTAATCCTTTTGCTCAGCATGTATGTGTGTAATTGAGATTTTTTTTTTTCTTGAATGGAAATCATCGCTATTGGCTGCAGTGCCCTAGGCTGAAAAAAAAATGAGGGGGGAGCCAATTCCTCCTTTGTTTGGGTGGGATTTTGCTTACGAAAAGATCAAATTAAATTTCATTCCAATGACAGAATGAAAAGAACCTTAGAAATGTGAAAGGAGAGCTCTGATAGTGAAGAATTGGAATCACAGTATTAAAGTATATATTTTAGTTTTTCTTTCTTTACTTAGATAGGATGACAGAGAACTTTCCAGGCTCTGAGGAAATTAAAGGTTTGATTTTTATCCTTCATCTCATCTCTAGGGCTCGTGAATGTGGGCTCAATCTGTGCACCTGAGGCAAGACTCAGAATTTAGAAATTCACAGGGTGAGAATTGTGGAGGCTGAAGGTAAGCGAGTCTTGATGTGGTTAGCTTCCCTCTGCAGGGCTAACTTGATTAATTTTGTAAGGTCGAACATCAGTTTGACGATGTGATATTGGAAATCGAACATTATTAGGTCCTAAAACATTGTTAGGCTAGCTAACTGAACATTTTTTGAGGAGCACATGATTCTGTATTTGACTGTTGTGAAACACTGAAAGGGGAGCAGAACGTGTCACCCCAAAATACCTCTTTGGCATAGGATGATTTGGAGCTGATTATTTTTAAGAAACTGCAGACACAGAAGAAGCTCTGAAAAGAGTGGAAGTTACCCTTTTGTAAGGGAAATCTACATTTATAAAGGAAATTTACATTAGAAAGGGGCCTTATATCAGGAAGAGAGCTACTCCTGGAGATAATTTTTACATCTGAGCGATTCATCTGCCAGTCAGGGCAATCTTTGTTTACTAAACACTTCCTCTTCTCACCTTCTGGTGAATTGCCTTCCCACCCTCCACCCCCCTAAATCCCAGCCCTCCATCCCTTTCTTTAGCCGAAGACCCTATATAACCCTCAGTCTGCTGGCCGCCATTTGAGGCTCATTTTTGTGAGGCTCTCAAATATACATAATTAAAATTTTTTTTTTCCTCCTGTTAATCTGTTTTTTTTTTACACGGGGTCATAGCCAAGAACAATGAAAAATAGAGGGAGAATTCTTTTTCCTTCTCTCTAAGAACAAGTCTAAAAAAATTTAAAGCAATAATTCTTACTGTAGGGAGTTTAAGGTGGTGTGTGGGAGCAAACTGAATAACCTTGGGGCATGAGGTAGGTATGCTGTTTCAAACTCCAGATATCCCTGGGCCTGTAAGGATGTACATTCTCACATTTGCCCCCAAACCCTTGATTCCACAGAAGTAACCTCTTTTAATAATCTTGACATATTTCTTTTCAGTACAATCTGAGCACAGATGTGCTCCTCGAAGGAGGTAGCAGTAGAACTCTGTGCTTGGAGACTCCTGTCTGGTCACCAGTTACCACTCCTTGGCATCGGCAATATTAGTATTTACTAATAGTTACATGCTATTTTCTGTAATCACACAAAAGCACAATTTTATCCAAAAGAGACATTTTGAGGAGAATGTCAAGAAGTTTTAGTTACTTTACATGGTTTTGAGATTTTTTTGGTGATAGAGTGGGAAGCATTGAGTAGCAAAAGATAAAGACAAGAAATGACATTTAGCAAGCATTTAATATGTGCCAAGCTTAGTCTGAGCACAGTACACACTGAAACTCAGGAAAATGTACACTTTTTTTTTTTTTTTTAGTGTTTTAGCTACCACACTAAATACATATATATGGTATACCTTACAGTTGGTCTGTTATTCAAAAGTAGTTGAAGCTGAAGTGCTCAGATGTGCTAGAGATAACTTACCTGCCACCCCGGGAATGCACACGGAGCAGTGGACATCAGCTAGGCTGTTGGGTGCATTGGTTTAAGCTGGTGAGTCAGTTTACTGGAGATCTGTTAAGACAGCCTCTACTGTAAGTTGCAGAATTGGAGTTCAGCCTCAGGCACTCAGACTCCAAACAGCATCTCCAAAAATACTTAATCATGTGGATGTAAGAAATGTCTAAACCTGTAGAGAGATGTCCAGACCTGTAGAGATTTTTCTTGGTTTTTTTTTGTTGTTGTTGTTTATTTAAGCCAAACTGACAATTGACAAGAAAAATCTCAATGAATTGAGAAAACGATCTGGAGAATGGCTGTTTTGGAGCTTATTCTGTATGTTAGAATCAAAGGAAGAGACCGAGATGTAAAGAGGGTTATGTGAGATCCATTGGTGATAGATTAAGTGGGCAGGAGAAAGCGAAGAAGGGAAATCTCTGGGATTAGATAAAAAATAAAATGGAGAGACACATCTTTTACATTGGTGGGTACAGGATAGTTAATAATTTACATTTACAGCACTTGGAGATGGTATTCAGGAAACGAGATAACAATGAAGGGTTCTGTGGTCTCATGCTGGGTGTGCCCTGAGGGGTCTGGAAAAAGAGATTACTCTGACATTTCAAATGTATGTTATCTTAGATACAAAAAGACAATAGACAGGCTCACTTAAGGTAAAGATTGACCTTTGTCAAGGAAGATACAGGCCTAGGACATGACCTGCTTTTAGTTAGGAATTTTTATGTTCAGACTATTCTATGTGGTTACTTTCGGTCTCTGAGTTTGCAGGGCCCGCCACACTGACCTCCCTTGAGCTTGTCAGGTTTAGTATGTGGCTCCTTTTTTTGTTCACAACCATTAGACTCTCCATCTCTCTATGAGAAGAGATGTTTCCAGAACTGAATGAATGGAAGGAAGGGGCACGAATAATTTCTACCAGATTAAAGGATTTCAGGACACTTCCACCACTTTCTAAACCATTGCAATTTCTCTGAAGCCTGTTGTGGTTAGGATTTCAAGAGGTCTCTGGAGAGGTGCATGTGTTTGTAAGCAGGTTTGTAGGACTCACTGGGCTCAGGAGACATACAGTGTCTCTATCATACTCTTCTAGGGAACAGAATCTCTCTTTTCCTAAAAAGTGCTTTTTTCCCCCCTGATGTGTGAAATTTCACTGTTAGAGAATTTTTCTCTTGAAGAGAGTACATTCTAAAAGACCTTTGTATTAATGTAGTGAAGCTCCAATAGAATTGATTGGGTAATTTTAAGATAGTCATCCCCTCTCCCCACCCCTACCCCACCAGAAAAAATTGGGGCCATCTTGGCTTCTCATTTTTTGATATGATCATGGATATCATTAGTCTTTTCATTTCTTGCTTGATATTAAAATAGCATACAGGCCCCAAACACCTGATGCTAAAATTTCAGAAATAGATATTTGGGAGAATACAATCGGATCATATTTATTTTTGTTGTTTGTACAAAAAAAAAAGTTGGCCCAGAACATAACCACTGAAAAAGAGGTAGTAAACAAGTACACAATTTTTTAATAAAATAAGCTAATTTGTGGAAAATGGAAAGACTTCCCTGTTTTTCAATTATTTTCCTCTTGTCAGACAGGGAGGTAACTATCTCCTTGTGTAAGTGCCCTTTGTAGGCCAGTTTTCTTCAGGGTAGGCGGGATTGGAGATTAGATTGTGGGGCGTTGATTGGGCTGAACAGTGAGTCTGGAACCATGCAAAGCTTTTTCTAGACACTGAAATGTACTCACAGTCACAGACTCAGTGGCTCTGGGAGGTCACATGTAGGAGCCATGCCAACCTGGCCATACAGGGCAGCTCTCATGCTTCTTAAACCAGAGAATTCTTAAAGGCCACTGAGGACAAAGACTTCTCAATAGTCCTGCTTTTAATTCTGTCTGGCCCCTGCAGAAACTAAGCTTTGAGGATGCTCAGTAAATCTGTTAGAGGATTTAGCTCTGCATCTTTTTAATTAAGATACACAAATCTCTAATTACCTGTGGAAATGTGGAGAACAGCTTCTATTGTTATCCCTAATTTGAATAAACCTTCTCTTTTAATATGCCAAATGCCAAATCACATGAAGTCCACATACAGTATTTAGATTGGTTTTCTTACCTCCAAATCTCAAATGCTCAGGCCGGAAGCTTTCAGAAGGCAAAGCAAACACTCACCTCTCAGAAGGTACCTGTCGTGCCTTGCGGCTGCAAGGAGGGAGGTTCGTGGGCAGAGGCTTCGAGCTCTGTGTTCTGAATCTTCGTGGTTAATAATTTCTCTGGGAGAACGGTTCGCAGCTACCCTCAGTCTTGGAAAAAGTATTTCCTCTTTTTGTAACCATAGGAGGCAAATAATCTGTTAACTTACAGCCCTAGAAAAAGAAATGTGGTTTGCCAGTGGTTAAATAAATCTGGTGTATATCACTTAGTCAACAGACATCTGGGTGACACCATCCTTGGCCCTGATTCAAAAAAAAGGATTGCTCTGGGAGTTCAGGCCGCTCCCAACTATTTGCTTTAATTATACTACTTTTCTTGTTAAACTGCAGATTATGGATATGATGTAAGTGTATCTGGATTTTTCTAAAATGTCACATTTTGGGAAAGGAAAGGGATCAGAGAATAAAGCTTATTTTCTTGACTTCTTTAACTGGTTCAATCACTACTTTCATTTTTCATTAGGAAATTGGTAGCCTAGGGCATACTGCAGCTGCCATGTGTTTTCTTTGCGCTGCACAGTGTTTTCTAGAGTTTGAATTAATTTCCATCATTTAAAAATCAGATATTACACAGCCATTGAGATTATCAGCTCCTCATGGAAAAATTGCCAGATCTGGGTAACCATGGGCCCACATCCCACAAGAATACAGTTGGAGGAGGCTGAGTACTGGCTGCTGCCAACACCTGACCTCTTTGGGCAGGCATCACCTTCCAGTTTTGCACCTTCTCCTTCTGCCCCCCTCACTTACCCACGACATCCACCTGGATCCTCCAGGATTCTGCACTTTCAACCCTTATGTCTCTTTCTTATTCTTTTCCTGTTGAGTTTCTTCCTTTTAGGAAAATTAAATACACAGAAAGCTAAGTCATTGGGCAATCGTTTTTATTGCATAAGGAATTTTAAGTTTGTTCATTAAGAATTATGAACCTCTGTTTCCTTAGCAAAACTTGAATGCATTATAAAATATGATTAAATTAATAAAATCAACTTAACTAGGTTAACTGTGGAATAACAGTGTGGCAAAGGAGGTGCAATGGAGAGAGATCTGCCCAGTGCAGGCAATAAGAGAGTTCACTGTCTGTAGGGAATTTAAAAACGATACTAAAACAAAATACAGTTCTTTTGCTTTTTGTGATCACCATGTATCAGCAATTGTAAATAAGGTCAGTGATGAAATATTCCCTTCAAAATATCTTTCTTTAGCTTAAGTTCTAAAGAAATTGCTGTGATTACTCTAAGCTTCAATTACTTATATTCTTATATATACGTAAAATTTATTTTTTAATAAACAATGTGTTACATAAAAGTTAATTCCTTATTCTTATTTTATTTTTGTTTCTTAGTCATTAATAGACAATGTATTTTACACAGGAGTTCACTGGAAAGAAACTCCTATTTATAGAGTCACCCCAGCGCCACGTGTGGACACAAGTTAATCTTTCTAAGATTAAGTTGGTAATGGTTCCACATCGTTGGTGATGTTTGTGTTTCCCTGCATTTAAACAGTAGATTGGAAACACACAGTGATAGCGCAATCATGGTAAGGATGAAGAAACAGAACTTGAGGACTTTCAGCTTCTTTATTCCATGCCACCACTTGAAATGTTTAGTTATATTTAAAATGTGAAACGACGAAACCAAGAGGGAGCTGCTAGGTGTACTATCTTTTTGTTTGGCAAATGTAAATTTTAATCTACAGATTAATTTTCTATAACTGAATTTGGAAAATGTTTTTTAAATTAACATTCACTTTAAAAATTGTTTTAAAATGAAAGCCTAATTCAAGAAGTAAAAGCAGTACAATAATGATAGGATTTAATAGTTGCCTAAATTTCACTTTCTGCAGACATATTAGTTTCATTGAAATTCAGTTATTAATTACTGATGCGGGGGAGGAAAAGGATCTTTTTTCTCCTTGATCCATTTATGTGGGGGCCCCAGTAACAAATAACAGATTGACGAGAGAAAAGCATACAGATTTCTTTAACATACATTTTACATGACACCGAAGCCTTTATAAAGAAATGAAGATCCCAGGATACAGTTAAACCTGAGTGTTTTTATGCTAGGTTTGATGAAGAGTGGAAAGCCGTAGGGAAAAAAATGTGGTAGGAGGAAAAAGAGTATGAACCAAGTATGGTAAATTGAGGGAAACAGGAAGGCCTGTTTGTTCAAATGCCTCTTGGTGTCTTGGAGATAAGGATGGTCCTTTCCTCAGGTATAGGGAGTGCATCTTCTAATGAGGGTTTTATGACCTGCTTAAGGAGAAGGTCAGAAGGTTCTTCCTGCACATGCTGTTACTCAAATTCCTTCAGCTTAAAATATTCAATATGCTAAGTCGCCATATTTGGGGGTAGAATGTTCTGAACCCTGTCACTGGACAATTATTTCCATAAAATATTATTATATCAGACTGTAACCAAGGGATCTACAGTTAAGTTGGTAGTTAGATATAAAAAATGTTGAAGAAACGGTTGTTCGTTTTTCCTCTTTTTGTACTACATTATTTATTTATTTTCCATTTTGTTGCCTGGCATAATTATATAGACAAAGATTCAGTAAATGAAAATTACCATCTGCATTTCTTTTTGCTGCATTTCATGATGTTACTGAAAATAACTTAGTCATATTGAGGAGGGAGGCTACTAAAAATTGATCTGCTCCAGATGTCAGTGTACAGGTATACTACTGTCATGGCACACAGGGACCGTCAAGGTAATATAGGACAGAGAAAACTTTTCATCTAGCCTCTTAGGTTCTGTAGCTGGGGCCTGTGAATTAAAATGGCAAAAGATAGATTTACGAGAGAAAAGGTTTATTTCTCATGCACACAGGGACTTCACAAAAAAAGAAGTTAAAACTCAGAGAAGCATTTAGGTCTGAGAGTTTATAAACCATTTTAACAAAGGGCGATAAATTGTAGAGAAGTGACTAGATAAAAGAACAGGAGTGGTTGTCCTTCTAGAGAAGATATATTGTGGGAAGGTAACAACTAAGAAATGTATGGTAGATAAAAGTTTTTAATAAGTGCTGTGATCTGAATGTTTGTGTTCGCCCCAAATTCCTATGTTAAATCCTAACCCCCCAAAAGGGAGGGCAGAGAGTTCCTCCTATGTTTGCCTTTTCTTAAATTACCTATAGCTTGAAATAATCCTTATGCCAAAATGGCATATTTTGGGGTGACATATACTGATTCCCTTGAGTAACCTCCTGTACTCAACAAGATATGCTTATGTTCACTGGATTTATTCTGTTGGGTTGGAGCTCTCTGTACTGAATTAAAAAATTTTTTTTCCTTTTTTTTTATATTGGGTAAAAAAACACATAATAAAGTTTACCATTTTAACTATTTTTAAGTATACAGTTCAGTAGTTCAGTATTCACATTTTCATGAAACAGATCTCTAGAACTTTTAAATCTTCCAGATGTGCAACTTTACACCCACTAAACAAAAATTCTTGTTTTTGTACTGAATTTTTTAAAAAAATCTCAACTGACAGGTTAGGCAAGGAAAGACACCAAGCTAAGTATCTAGAATGAAGAAGGGCAGTATGAGGAATGAGAGAACTAACCTTGCAGAGGCATTATGGACAGAAAGGATGGTACAGGGCAGGCCTGACAGAGACAGCCTGATTTTCCAGGAGTAGCAGATATCCAGGTGGAGTTCTTGGATGGGCTAGAAAGAGGCCACTATTTTCACCAGGATTTGAAGATGTTTGGTATCATTGCACTGAAACTGTCCATGGAATGAGATGTCAGCTGCTTTTTTAAGCTTGCTTGTTCTGCAGTCAGTTATGCCATAATTCCTTCTACCCACCCATTTGAAGTAACTTTTAAAATAATAACTTTTCTTCAAAAAACATTATTATGTTTATCATAGAATATTCAGAAAATACAAAAGAGCATAAAATGACAACTAAAATCATCTTTAACTCCACCATTTTGAGAAATCAAACCTTTGGCATTTTGTCATATTACTGTATTTTAAAAATATTTGCGAGATTAAGTTATACTTGCAATTTTATAACTTGCCCATTTTGCTTACACTACGAGCAATTTTACATGTCATTACATATTATTCAAAAACATGTTTTTAATGACTGCATAATATTACATTCTACAGATGTTGTTTAAGGCATTTTAAAAAGTGGCAACTTTATTGTCATCCTAGAATACAAAAGTGCAGTGCTGTCACACCTGTCTTCAAAATAATTCCTGGTACATCTTATGCTGAAATAAAGCATTATCAAGTTGGATCCCAAAGATAAGCACATTTTAAGAAATGCTAAAGTGAAATATAAAACCCTAGCACAGGCTGCAATTTAGGCAAATAGAACCAGAACGTGGTATTATCTGTCAACAAACAACTTAGAAAGCTTTTCCATAAAATTAAATAATGATGTGATGTGTTATCCAGTACATTTGTAGCAGTGTAATTACAATAATGAGACATATTTAATATAACCAGACTTTATGTTTTAAAAATGTTAAGTCATGCCAAGCATGCTATTTGGTGTTGCTCAGCTATTAAGCCATTTTACATTTTCCATTTCGATTTTATGAGGCCCAGGAAGCAAAGTGAGGAGAAAATTTTGTTGAATGATAAACATATTGAAATGGAAAAATGAAAGCTTCTCTTGCATCCTCCAGATCAGTTAGCGACAGAGTTGCAAATTTATAGCTTTAGTTATAGTCCACCAGTCCTTTCCAATGAACACAAATTTATGGCATTTTGAAGCATAATAAAAAGAGCATACTTAATATTTTATTTTCATTCTTGTCATTTCAGCTATCAAAACATTACAATAAATGTCATACTTGGAAATTTACCTGGAAAAAACCCCAACTCATTATGGTACCAGTGCACAAAAGGATGATAAATGCAAAAGAGCAGGACACTTATAGCCAAAACAGAAAATGGAAATGGCACTGAAGAAATCACTCATTGGGAGAAAAAGCAGAGTCAGACTGATTAAGTAACATCGTACTTTGACATAAAGGGCCCAGTCCTGAGAAAATCTCTGACCACACATTT